ACACACACACACACACACACACACACACACACACACACACACACACAGAGGTACACCATACCCCTTTATCAATATGAAGCCTGTGGAGAGCATCCCTCTAGAAAAATAGTATGAAAACATCTGTCATGTACACCAAAGCTGTAACGTTTTAATATTTCAGCTCTTTGGTATTAGCTGGTGTTTCGTATATAATACTGAAATCAGAAATTGAGTCATTAAAAAGCAAAGGCTTTGGAACAAACACACTGAAGTTCAAATCTAGATTCTACCACTTCTAACAGCGGGGTCTATGGCGATGTCCTCGGGGTCGTAGCCTCCTTTCAGCCTACACATCTTCTCTTCCTGACATGCACAACTGATAGGGTACCTGGCAAGTTGTCTGCTTATGTCAGTTGACCCACTGGACTGTGAGTCCTTGACTGGACAGTGTGTGCAAGAATTGCAATGTCTAAGGGATGAATGATCTTCCTTTAGGTAATTGATGAGATGAAGAGACACGCTGTGGCAATTTGACTGCTACTTTTCAAGGCCTCTTGCTCTTTATAACCCATAAAGAGGAACGGTGACCGAAGCCTAGTAAGTCATATGACAAGCTGAGTATGTTCATGGGCTTTACCCGATACAGTGAACAACATCATTAGGCTTACCAGTCAGCAGATCCTTGTTTAGCTTCTCTCTGCTTATTGAAAGGATGTACTGTAAGAGAAAAAAAGGAGAGATTGTTTCCGGAGAGTAGACACACATAACTCTAAGTTATTCAGCAAAAAGAACTATTTATTATCTAGCAGAGGGTTGTAAACTAGTTTTAGAACCATTTACCTAAGTGGTGTGATAATGTTAAATAACTTTAATGAGACATGCTTAACATAATAGCCAAATTTTAGCTAAGGCCTCCTTGAAGTTTGATACTATAAAAATCAAAACCTCATACAATGAAAATATTAGTTTCATTAGCATAATTTTAACATTGTAAACTTCATATTTCCCTCAGAGGTCTTTAAATATGGTTTTTACATTGCTTCACTATTGATAATATCAGGGCAAATGCACTGTTTTTTTTTTTTTTTAAAAAAAAGACAACTACCAAGGCCTTAATTCAGAGAGAAAACTGTGTGTGCTGGTAACATGAAGTGGGGGTGGGGTTGTAGGAGGTCATAGCCTCTCACTATGATGTATGCTGTTTTTTCAGACTGTGGTAAAATGCAGCAGGTTGACTGTCCTATAATGCAATTCACATGTGGTACCTAGGGACCATAATGCTTTAAACATCAGCTAAAATGTTTTATTTTTAGCTTGGGTTAGCAGCAGAACCAAAAATCAAGTAAAATAAACACTGATGCATAATAATACATCTTGAGTTGCTTATATTCACCTTCACACCAGTAAAGTCATAAAACTTACCTTTAAATATTTATTATTTTATAGCAAAAATACTTATCATGGACCATGAAAGTTACAATTCAGTCTTATGAATTAGAGTGACTTTGGGGCAGTGGTGGCCAGAGCCTTTAATCCCAGCACTCGGGAGGCAGAGGCAGGCAGATCTCTGTGAGTTTGAGGCCAGCCTGGTCTACAGAGTAAGTCTCAGGACAGCAGGGCTACACAGAGAAACCCTGTTTCAAAAAACAAAACAAAGATGGAGCTAGAGTAAATTCATTGTTTAAATATTTAAAGCATATCATTTTTCCAAATTATGAAAGACCACAGAGTTTTTAACATGAAAAAGCACTAACTTATGGCTCTTCCTCTCATTGAAGTACTTTCTGTTGTGACGGAGCAAGACAGTGTAGAGGCTCCTCCATCCTCCTGAGGTAGTTTCCAGGTTTAACTAGAATCTGATCTCCCTGATGGAGAATCCCACGGAAAACTGCCCTAGTCTATTCTAGGAACCCAAGGTCAGGATGTCCTGGCTAATTTATTTTATCGTAGCCTTTGTTAAAACTGTGTGTTAGTGTAGTACCTCCTCCAGCTGGCTAACCATTATCTTAGCTTCTGTCAAAGCCACTTTCTTCACCCCACTTACTCTGCAAGCCCCCTGCAGATGCTGAACAAGTTGCCAGGTCGAGGCCTCTGTCTTAAAAAACAAACAAACAAACAAAAACCAAACAAACAAACAAAAACGTGTTCTGGACACTCGAGGCCACACCTAGGTCCCTGAACACTTGGGTGTAGTCCCAGCCAGCTGGAATAAAGACTTCCAATTGGGAATACACTGCATCTGAGTGGTCATCTTTGGTGAGCTTTCCTGTAACACTGTCTTTGATGTAAGAAGACAGACTTGTTCATTGCCTTCCTGGGCGTCTGTGCCAGTCATCACTGTGTTTCAGTGAGGACCAAATGTGTCTTTTCATTGCTTGTGGCCAGGCAGGGGCTGTGGCTTGACAACATGTGTAAGGCCCTGAGCTTCACTCCCTGCACAACAAGGACACGTTGTAGAAAATGGTAAGAAGAGTTCCGATTATAAATATTTGTTTAAGTTAACGTGGTGAACATATTCGTCATATGTTAGCTATAAGGCTTTTGTGCTGTGGGCACCAATGGAACACATCAGCCCAATAGGGCCACCAGGACTTCACCCATCTGCTTCAGCTGTCTGGATACCATTGCCTCGTAAGCAAGAGACAGTGTTGTTCCTGACACAGCACTTGCCCCCAATGCCTATTCTAAAAGGCTGATCCCTCAAGGAACTAATAAGAGTAAAGAAATCTAAAGGAATAAAAAAGACTGTTAAGACTAAAACACAAGGATAAGAGCCAAGTTAGACAACTTATTTGGGGATATGTAATGCAAAAGTTTCAATGCAGAAACTATTTCAAATACAACAGAAGAAGGTAGTTACTTTGTCTGCCCATGGTGCCTTCAAAACAGAGTACCTCTTACTAAGGAAGCCGGGTATCGTAACTTTGAATACTTAGTGAAGCTTAGTGACCGAAGCCTTGACCACCTCTATGTGTCACCGGGTATTTTGACAGTTCCCTGGGCAGTGTAGGAGGGAGAGGGGAATGTCCAAAAAGCCAGGGACCATCTGTACATGGTATGGGGGAAAGGGCCAGGAGACAAACTGCTAGAGAAAAAAAGGGCCAGGGAGGAATTTACACATCATGGATATATCTAAACTGTGTGTCTTGTGCAAAGTGCTTCATCCATGACCAGAGCTCTTCAGCAGATTTATTCTCTCTCCCTCTTTCTTCCTCCCTCCCTCTGCCCTTCTCTTTGTGTGTTTGTGTAATATACAAGTATTATGGGTATGGTATGGGGGCTACTGAGTTTCCCATGCTGTTTATTCTCTCCTTTATTCCTCTGAGACTGGATCTCTCACTGAACCTGCAGGTAGGCTGGCAACAGCAAGACCCAGTGATTCTCTGGTCTCCGTACCTTACAGCACTGCAGGGATTGTAGGTGTGCCTGTGCCTGGCTTTTTATGTGGATGTTGGGTCACTGAAGGTTAATTTTTATTTATGTGTGTGTGTGTGTGTGTGTGTGTGTGTGTGTGTGAATAAAGGTGTCTGTGAACGTCAGCAAAGGGTGTTGAGTTACCCGAAGCTGAAGTTACAGGTGGTTGTGAGCGTCCCAGTGTGGGTGCAGGGACCTGACCTCAGGCCCTCTGGAACAGTAGCAATTGCTCTTAACTGCTGAGCCATCTCTCCAGGCTGGATGCGAGGGATTTGACCTCAGGGCCTCATGCTTGCACAGCAAGCACTACTACTCACTGGGTCCTCTTCCCAGTTCCAAGAGTGATCTTTTGAGGAAGTTTTGTGCATAGAGACTGATGAAGGGTAGATTTCATGTCTGGAGGTGGTAGCTTGCCAATACTGGGTGAGAGAGGCCCAGGTGCCAAGAGGCTGCAAAGGTCAAAAGAAGGTGGGCTCCCTGAAGATGTGAAGAAATCTTGGGGTCACAAGGAAGACTGCACTTCCTATGGCAGAAGAACTGAGTGGTTCAAAGCAACTTGATGACGTTCTTAAAGGGCCTTTGTCTTTGATTAGAACACGACTGATGCCAAGGCAATCATGCGGAAACTGAAGAAGGAGGGCAGCTGTAAACTTAGCATTCACCCAGTTCGCAAGAACTGAGAAATAGCAGTGGGGCTGGGAAGGGACCACTTCCTCTGTGTTGTAGCGAGCACCAAAATTGGAACTGCTGCACACCTGCTGCTCTAGAGGAATCAGTCCCCACCACAGCAATGGTGGGGGATGAAGAAAGGACTGTGGCCTCTGGTCCCAGTCTAGTTGATCTAGTTTCTCTGGGATTTGAACCACTATTTGAATTTCTTTGTTTACTGGTAGATGATTCACCAGGGCTCTGAAGTGAGCTCAGTTGGACATCAGCTTCCTCAGGATGCTCCAGGGTAATACAAAAAGAATAGTCAGATGATATCCTGGGTCAGGGAGCAATGAGGCTATAGGTAGTGCTTCCCAGCTTCCGGGTCCCACCTCTGAGAAGAAAGCTGCATTATCTTTATCTTAATATACCTCATGCAACTCTGTAGGCTATTTCCTCTTCTACGAAGCATGGCAGCTGGAGTCACGTTCAATAAATCTAAAGATTCTGCTACGCTAGAGTGAGCTTACATGTTCTCTCTTCCAAACCTCTGAAGTACACTTTGCATCCCAGGCTTAAGTCTTTGAAATGATGCCCCACCCAGATCTCCTTTACTTGACTAGGTCAATTCTGTTTTGCTACTGATTTAAAAGTCCTACAAAGTGTTTCAAATTTTACTTTCTCTGTAGCCTTCCTGTAAACTACAACTTCCCCCTTTCTCCACACCACTCTTCCATTTCTGGCCCATACCACAGAGCGAAGCTTCCCCTGTCTTATTTTACTGATGTCTCTCCCTCATGAACCTGATGACTGTCCCTTGTCCTTCAGGGTGATGTGAACCTTACTCTGACTTTGTGCTTCTTAAGGCTTCATAAAAAGAAAGCAAGCTGGGAATTCCCTCTGGTTGATGGATATTTGGAATCTTCATTCTCTCTCAAAATTAAAAAATGAAAAGGGTATAATTACATGTAAATACATTTTCTTCCAGTTATGAATGTCAGCATATAAAATACAAAGAAAAATACAGAGCAGGATAATAGATTTGCTCTCAAAAATGACATTAGCATCTGGCCTCCGTTGTTTTGGGGATTATGAGGCACTGAAAGCACCTCTGGTTGATTCCATACAGTCTATTATAAGCAAATCCAGGGCAATAGAGTAATTTAGGGGAGGCGACTGCAGCTCAGAATGCTCCAGAGTTGTTCTCGTGCATGATACTCAACAACAAATAACATGGTAATTTTCTCTAATTGAAAAGGAGATGGGAGGCAGCTGGATAGCCGGAGCCGGACAAGAAGTGGCCTCGTTATGACGTTAGTAGCAGTAGCCCAGTCTTTGTCATTGGTGCTGTCAGCCAGACCCTGGCTTGAGCATCCCCTATCAACTAACTAGGTAACTAGTATATAATGCGTCCGGGTGTCTAGTACTGAGATATCTGAGTTAGTACAAGGGAGGAAAGGAGGAGGCCACAACAAGCAAGTGGCTCATTGCAGGCGTCGGGCTCAGCTACAATTGATGCGTTGTCCGTTGCCTCCAATGCAAACCTACCTGCGACTTGTTCCCGTATGGAATTGCAGACTTCTTTCCTGAGAGAGAGTGGATCATTCTAGCTCTCATGGGCACACCACAGGAAACGATCTGAGGAGAACCGGAAATAACATCTCCATCACGGTGCTTTACCACCACGAGAATTAGACAAACGTGAATTTAAAGGTGATTTTTTAGTTAAAGCTTTTTAAAAGGGACTCAGAAAGCCCGATATGGCTGAAAAGTCACTCAGTGAAAACATTGCTCCTAAGTATGCCAGTGTTTCTCTAACTTGGAAGAAAATGAATGTTTATGTTGTTTAAACTGAGATCACAGACTACAGGGAGTGGCTAGGTGTTAAGGGGACTGAATTGGAGGCTAAGTCGTCTTTTTATGACTATGGGAAGGGTTACTTTGAGGAGAAAAACGCAACCCTCCACAGTTTCTGTTGTATTTCATTGGCTGTGTATTCCCTGGTCACGGGGGATGTTGCATACACTAGCAAGGAGTTCCTTTTCTGACTTCCCTCAAAGACGTACTGGAAACTGTAAGAGGAAATGAACTTTTCCTCTTCTAGTTTGCTTTTGATCAGAGTGTTTCATCATTCCAACTGGAAGGAAACTAGAGCACCCCTACCCACCCATGAGAGATCTGCCTTTTTGTAAGAGATATGATGGGGTTGAGGTGTCATGTCCATATCCTTCCTGCCCTCTGTGTCTTAAGTCTTTAAACCCATTATGTGTTAAGGGTTTACCAGCCAAATTTGGAGTTTTCCAAGCCTCCACAGAATGAGTTTTCATGTGTAGGTCATTGGCATCAAATGACATTTCAAATCAGGATAAAATCAATGCCATGGAACTGTTGAAAACTGTCAAGCATCATCATCTTCACACACACACACACACACACACACACACACACACACACACACGTGCACACAGATGCACACAACTCTTTTTAAAAAAGAAAACTGCATCATGATTGTACCTGATCTTCTAGACCAATGGCCTTCAAGGCCTGCCGTCCTCTATAAGAAAGGGCCAAGTTAATGCTTCTTCCACGTGTAAATTTAGCCACTCGAATATCTAAAAACAGAAACAGACTCCATGTTGTGTACACTTCCTTAAATGCTGCTAAGAAGTGAGCAAATTCTTGCATTTGAGCAATTGTACAACTCAGAATCAAACAGAAAGACTTATTAACTCATCTAAAGAAAATACCAAGTGTAAATTCGTGTTCAATTAAATTTAGATCACTGAGGTTTTAAAAATATTCTAATACTTACTGAATTTCTTTTATTAAAATGTCTTTTATTCAGAAAATCTAAAGAAATAGATCAAGGGATCAGAAACTCTTCTCCCATTTTCCATTACCAACTTACCTTCCCTAGCTTCATACACATCAACTTGAAAATTCCTCTTTGCAAGAAAGCATGCATTCAGTGCTCCAACCTGGAAATCAAATCCATCATTTTTATGCCTTCATCTTGTTCTGAACATGCACAAACATTTTGGTGGAAAACACAATATTGTGTGTGGATAGATATATTAGTGCATTCATTGTATTGAGTTAGTTGTAGTCACTACCCAAGACTAGCAGCAAGATCAGTCAGATTATCTGGGTCTGATTATGCAAGCCTGACTCTGTCTGAGGCAGGAGGTTCATGAGTTTAAGACCTGCCTGTGCTACTTAGGAGCAGCCTGTCTCAATATCAACAGGGGACTAGGGATATTACCTTTGTGTAGCATATGCAGAAACCTGAATTCAATCTCCAATAACAAAAAAGAAAAGAGAAACAAAGCAACAGATTAATTCAAGATTAAGTGGTATAGTTGTAGAGATAGGTTTGGCTTTTTACTTTTCTTATTTTTACTTTTTTATAGTGAGAAATAACTTGCAAACAGAAAGAAAATAAAAATGTGGGCAGATTGCAGAATAACTACAAAACAAACTTTTATGTTCTCTTAGACTTTATGACCAACATTCAGGTAAACAAAATTGAGTATTTCAATCCTTACTAACCCCCCCCCCAACTAATTACCATAACCTTTTTCCTCCCTGAAGATGACCACTTGAATTTTTTGCTAATTCACTCTTGCTTCTTCATAGTTTTACCATCTAGATATACTTCCCTCTGGAAATATAGTTTAATTTTGCCCATCTTTGAACTATATATTTAGAATCACACTTTGGATTTTTTAATTTGATACCTGCTTTTTCAACACAGCATCATGTTCTGGAGAGTCATTTAAAAATAAACCTCAAACCATCTGTTATTAACTTGTGTCCTTGTGTGTATGGTCTAGGCACATGTGTGCACATGTGTGTGGGTTCACATGACTGTATGGAGACCAGAGATCAGTGTTAGGTATTTTCCTCTATTGTTCTACCCCTTGTGTGTTTTAGATGGGGTCGGCCATTGAGCCTCAAGCTTATTTTTCGGCAAGACTGGCTGACCAGCAAGCCCAAGGGATCTGCCTCTGCATGTCCCAGCATTGGGATCACAGTGACACCGTACTTGGCTTTTCTTTAGGTGCTAAGGATTTGAACTCAGGTATTCCTACTTGCACAATAAACACTTTATCCAATGAGCTTACATCATAACGACTGTAGAGACCTGGATGTTGTCACATGGGAGAAGTCACATGGACAAGCCACGTGTAGTTTATTCAGTCATGAACCAGAAGCCAACACCAACTACCAAGTATGGGCATGTGCTATATGGCCAGTCCAATGAAGCCTTGAATGTGGCTGCTGCCCCAACAACACAACAGACCTCCCCTAAATGAGACTCCATATGTCATTATTTTGGGACACTCAGTTTTAGGGTGGTTTGGTATATGACAACAGATAATCCTCACAAGGGGCTTGGCAAATCTTCCTGAAGATTACTTTAAGTCAACCTTTGAGGACTGGGAATATTGAGCCATATAGAGAAGATAAAGTAATAGTTTAAGACAATTTTGGTTTTTTTTTTTTTTATCAGAATAGAATCATAACTGCTCCTCCTAAAGTGATAAAAGACTGGTTCAGGAAAGAATGTGGCTCAGAAGACAACAGAGTCAGGAGGGTAGGAATGAGGACAGGAAGGCTCATTAGAAAGAAACCCCTCTTGTTAAGGAAACAGCCTAGAAGAAGGGTGGTAAGATCTAAATGATGGGCGATGAGTCGAGCCTTAAAGTAAGGTGCTGGCTCCAGAATGGGGAGCCTGCAATTTAGAAGCAAGAGGTCATTTTGCCCAGTCCCTGAAAAACTACCTTCGGGAATGATGGGGTAACAAGCAGGGTAGTAAACACCGCTATGCCAGGCACAGAGTCTAGCTCACACCAGCGATGGGCTGTGGTATGCACCCATGGGTTTGTTACGATAGATAGAAGCTGATAGAGGAGGATCCTTGGATCCAGTGTGGTAAGGATGACCTGAGTGGAGGGTCTGTTTTGGTCGTTTCTAAGGTTGGAAGTTGCAGACCCATGGCTCTTCCTCCTTAGATTTCTAGCATATTTTAAGGCCCACTATTTTTGTCACCCTAGTATAACTCAGACATGGGACAGTTCCCTAACTTGCCTATGTTTTTACTTTGAAGTTCCCCACATTCTCTGCTTGTTTGTATACTTCTGATTCCTCAACCCTCCCACAACACGGCTGGATTCCTGACCATAAGGAAAGAATATGGAAGAAGGAAGAAACTGCGCAGGATTAGAGACCTGGGCACAATAAGCCAGACTTCATGAGGCAGACTCACATAGGGGCATGGCTGTCTATGAACTGATTTTGAATTTGTTTCCAAACACTACACCAAGAGCCTTCAATAGTAAGTGGAGAGCAAATGAAGAGCGAGGGATGAAATTTTTGTATGTAGTCTGGGTTCTGTGAAGTACTTAAAAATAATAATAAAAAAAAACCTTTAAGACTATTGGAGAGATACAGGCAGAGGGCATGGAGTCAAAACTCCTTTGATGAGACCAGAGCCCAAGTAAAACCTCAGAAGATGAAGAAAGGTTTACAGAAACATCAAAAGTGTCCCTTGACCTACTGGGCAAAGGAAGACAGACTTCCACAGCCCATCAAAGTCTATCCACCTGTTGTTAAGATGTCCCTGGGATGGAATGACAGGGAGAAATCTCAGAGCCTAAGGAGTGGGAAGAAAAATGAATGGCCACACAGAAGACCCTGGTTAAACTAAATGGGTCACAAAACAAAAGCAAAAGTCAGGAAACTGGGAGACAAGTATGTGTGGGGGGGTGCGATTAGAAAGGGGTGAGGAGGAGAGAGTAAGTAGTATGCATTTATGCCATGAAACTGTCAAAGAATTAAGTAATAAAAAGGCTGCAAAAGAAAAGAAAATGTGGTATATCTGCACCAATGGAATTTTATTTACCTGCAAAGAAAAGTGAAATTAAAACATTTACTTACAGGAAAGCAGATGGAGTCAGAGATGATTATATTAAGTGGAGTAAGCAGACTTGTAATGACAAATAGCATGTTTCTTCTCATATATGAAATCTAGTTTTAAGTATGTGGGGGCCATGAAAGTAGGAAGAGGACTGTGAGAGGGTAATGGGATGTATATGTATACCATAATAGCAGAAGGGGATTTCAGGGGAGAGGGGGCAAGAGAGAGGGAGGGATGAGCAAGAAGAAAGTCTAATGAAATACACATTCTGAAAATGTCACAGAAGAAATTCATTTCTCTGTGAAAAATAATTTAAAACATCAGTAAAAAAAAAAACAAATTGAGATTTATTTTAGTGTTAATAAAATAAGAGCACTAAGGAAGGTTAACAGCAAGTCCTCTACATGTACATATATGTCAGTGACAGCTTCAGAAGTTACAGCACACTGCAAAGACCTTGACCCGAGATCTCAGGAGTTTTGTGGGTTTCTATGCATCAAGAATGCTTCCTTCGGGGAGACTGAAAGTTCCAAGTGACCTGATTTTGGCATTAGGAAACACCAGGTGGTGAATAATGTAGAGATCTCTTTTGTGAAGAGTGAAAAAAAAAGCAGAAGAGTTGAATTGAAACACCCAGACTCTAATTTTAACCCAAGAAGAAGAAACTGAGGAAAGTAGTATTTCCTAAGCCTCAGGCTAGTGGTAGACACTGCTACGCCTCTAGGCTGTACACGCTCTTCAAGCTCAGTTAACACTGGATGTCGGGGAGAAAGATGCCGAGGTCAATGAAACAGCAATAACATTTGAAATCAATTCGACATCACCAGTGTTTTGAGTTTGGAAATCTACTACCAGAAACAAATTCTCAGCAACAAAAGCTGAGCAGCTTCAGGCAGTGCGCAGGAGGCAATTTCACTGAGAAAGAACAGTTTGAATGTTATTCCAGCCGTAATATACAGAAAACTGGCACACTTTAGCGATTTTCTAAAATTCACGTGGATTTTTTTCCTTCCCCCTGGGTTTCTGAGATGCATAAAGAGCATCTCATTGTTGCTACCCTGAGTAATTCATGAATATATAGCAGGTTTCTCACTCCTCCTAATTTCCCATACATTTTTATGTTGTCCATCAAAAGCCCGAGGATTTGTTTGTTTGAAGTGGGGACTTGTTATAAAGCCCAAAGTTGCCTGGAACTTCCATCCTTCCTCAGCCTCCTTGGCATTGTGATTACCAGCCTGCACTACCATGCCCAGCAGGAAATCATAGTCTACCTTTTTACTAACCCGCCCACCCCAAGGCTTTCAAGAGTAATGCAGCTTTGAATAAAATCCAGTCTTCTTCCTTGATCGTCTAAGATGCTGTGAGCTCTGATGAAGTCAGCTTTGCCTTGTGTGAGGTAGCTGGGCCTATCCTCTCGTCAGAGGGACTGCCCTTGACTGACCAGAAACAGAATCTGCCAAGACCTTCTTCACACAGTGAGCTGTTTACACTGCTCATTGCACAGTTCACTGCTCAGACTTGAGCTGTCTTTTCTTCTTCATTACCTTTCTCCTTCCTTAGAATGCCCACTCCTTTATCCACAGTATCTTAAAACAACACGAGCAGCAGCAATATATACATTCTCATTTTGTTCAACAATTTGATAGAAGGAGTTACAGTGAAGATTGGCCTGAAGTCCAACAAACACAACACACAATACTCTTCCTTAGCGCTCTGTTTTGCTTGGCTTTGTTGAGACACAGTGTCTTATTGTCTATACCAGGTAGGGCTCAATCTCACTCCATTCTCCTGCCTCAGCCTCCCGAGCCCTAGAATTACAGATGTGGCCAATCATACCCGCTCCTTCCTAGGCATTCAAAAATTTAGCATCAGTTATATTAAAGGACCTGTCGTATCCATTTTCCTGCAAGCAACACAATTTTATTTTATTATTCTTCATGGGAGAATAATACCCATGGTGTGTGTGTCTTTCTGTTTCACACACACACACACACACACACACACACACACACACACACAGAGAGAGAGAGAGAGAGAGAGAGAGAGAGAACGCTTCCTTATCCACTCATTTTTCTAGTGAGTACCTAAGCAGCCTGTATAGCTGTGGGGAGTACTGCAGCAATGAAGACAGGAATGCTGTCATCTCTACAGTGAGCTGACTTGATTATTTTAGGTATAAACTGAGAAGTGGCGTCGCTGGATTGTAGAGAGGTTCTAGTTTTAATTTATTTTTAATTAATCTATGATGAATTCTTTTTTCTATTAGAGTTCTAATGAGAGGAAAAAATGTACAGTTGTTTTTGGAGGAGCTAGTTTTGACTATAAAAATATGGTACGTATTCACACTCTTTCCTCCGCATGGGGGTGGGGTTGGAATCAACACCATGTCCCTATCTGGCCAGGTCTGAGTTGTTTACTTCACCTGTTACCTCACACCCGCTGGGAAGGAGTAAAGGCAATACTCAAATACTCACCACCCTGTCACCTTGGAATTGCCAAGTAATTTGAGTGAGCAATTATGTTATTTTCCATTTATCTGAATACCTGTGAGTATCTAATAAGTTTTTTAAAACTATTAATTTCGTGTGTCTTGATCCTTTTCTTCCCATTAGAGAGTAGTTTACTAACCAGAGTGAGGCAAAATGTTTTATTATTATTATTATTATTATTATTATTTGTTATTATTGAAAAGACCTAAGTAAGATACATTCCTATTTTAAAAGAATAGCCATATTTAGGAGGAAATATAGTTTAATCTGTTTTATTTATTTATTTTTAGGAAATACTAAACCAAAATGACAAAAGAAAACACACACCTTAATACTTAGTAGATATGAAATATCTTTCCTGGAAAGAGCCATTTAAAACAAATGCTGTCACCTTTATTTATTGCCAAGATGGCTGTTAGTGAATTAATGGAGAAAGAGAATATGGTACACGTACACAAAGGAGTATCATTTAGCCATAAAGAAGAATAAAATCTCATTGTTTAAAGCAAAAATATGTCTTAGCTCATCTTAATATAAACAAGTGGATTTAAAGGACATCAGGATAAATGAAATAACACAAATCTTTAAAGACAAGTGCATATTTTATGTCACTTAAGGAAACACACACACTTATGGAGAAGTGGGGGGGAGAGAGAGAGAAAGGAAGAAAAAACTAAACATTTAAGAGAGACTGAGAAAGAGGTGTGAGAGAAGGAAGAAGGCAGAAGGGTAGATAGACATGATTAGTCATGGTATATACATATATGAAAATATCAGTGATCATTATGTATTAATAACTGTAATAAAAACAATGTCATATTTACAGCAGGTATCTTTAAACATTAAAAAGGTTTAATTGTTAGAATCAATAATCTACACATGATAAACAATCAGTGAGATAATAATAATTTAAAAAAATACAGCCGAAGAGCAGTACACGCCTGAACAGCCTTACCAAGCCACCACCGATAACAGCCACCCTTTTCCTTTGAGCGTCAGACGATGCCATAGCTGCCAGAACACCACTGTCCAGGAACACTTGGTCTACACGCTCATGGTTTTCCGTCTTTTTATTGCCAGAAGCCCAGAGCTTTGGCAAGGTTTGGTCAAAGCTCACTTCCCTTGACAGCGTTTAACTCACTGGAAGCCTAAAGTCCAATCAGCTCAGCTCTCAGAGACAATTCACTGCGATAACTAAAATTGGAAAAACCCAGCCATGCACAAAACACTTAAAAAAAAAAGCAAAAAGCGGTGTTGGGGCTTTTCTTCTTCTTTTTCTACGGCATGCATTAGTTTCATTTTCATTCAAAATGTGGGTATGAATGAAACTTGTGTTTTCTGAAATTTCGCAGCATCTTCCACTTTTCAGAGAGAATGAGATGAGCTGGATTCACAACTTCCTCCTGCTGCTGGGCCCAGCCCTGAATCTGGCCTGAAAGGTCCACTGGGGCTGGTTGCCTTTAGTAGTTTGTGGTGTTGAGCAGGACCTGAAGATGTGTAACCAACTGGCCAGATTTTTACTTTGGTTGTTTTTTTCTTGCACTGGACTTTAGAATCTAGCTTGTGTCTTGCCATGGGCAAGATGGTGGACACGCTGGATCTCTAGATGCATGCTTGGTTTCAGGGCATTTAATCACTCTTTTTGACATTTTCACTTCACTTGAGATGTATAGTACTTGGTTTGGAGGCCTATTCGTGAGTTGTGCTTCTTTTCTGGAATGTATTGCGATATAAAATAAAAGGGGAGCACAAATGAAGATTTATTGTCTTTTTTTTTTTTTTTTCCTATTTCTGGTGAGAACACTAAGAATTCAAGGGAGCATTTCCTTGGGTAGGTAGTGAAAGGAAATGCCACTAGATAGCGTCCCCTGTGGGAGAGTATTTAGAGGCGCTAGAAAACTGCTGAGTCTTTATAGTAGGTAATATATCAGAACGCACGAAGTTAAAGCCATAGCAAGGTCACACAGGAAGTGGGAGCCTGTTTCTCTTGTCCAGAGGCAAGCATCTAAGCAGTGGTTTTGCTGTGTGGGTTACCCTGTTTCTCTCCAAGACCCCTGTGTTTCTTCCCTCTCCTCCGGTCCATTCCTTCTTCTCTCCCCTCTTTTCTTCCTTCCCTACTTTCTCATTTGACCTCTTTCCCTTTCCTTTTCAACATAAAAGCTAGCAACTTTCACAACCCTTTCCACCCCATTTTTCTCTTTTTAACAACATATAACTCAAGAGTTCTTCAGTATCAATATAGAGAAAATTGTACCTTTTAACAATCTTTTTAAAAGTTAAGGACTATTACACAAAAAGGTAAAGTAGTTAAGCACAAATGTACAGTGCTTATCACAGAGTTCCAGAAGTCTGCTGCCCCAGGGCCTTCACTCCATTACACTGTGGCCATCATGACAATAGTATCTCCTTGTTTGGAGTTGCCACTGTACTGCCTATCAGTTCTGTCAGATGAGGGTTGAGCTTTAGCAGAAGAGAAAACTGTTAGGTTAGGTTTCATTTGCATTTGTCTTTTTAAAGCAGGACAAGGTCACATTTCGTAAAGAACAGAGTGCAAATAAATCAGAAACAAACAAAGCAGCAAGTGTCAACGAGAACAAATCAGGTCACTGTTATCAGTTAAATCCAGACTTTAAAAAATTCAACTCTAAGCAATGCAAAACATTTTGCATAGATATAAGGTTGCATCCTAAAATAAAGATATACAGTGCTAACCATTAATGAGAAAGCTTTAAATACATGTTCATTATTGACAACATTTCCACATTTCAGTCACTTGTATTCCACCTTCCCTACATGTTTCAACTTTTGTTCCTAACTGGTATACATTTTATTTAGCTAATATAGAACTTTATACTGCTGTTACAAGTAGAAAATTACTTTTGTTGATAAATAGAAGGCAAATATACATTAACAGTTGGGAGTTCTTAGATGTCAGTGTTCTCTTTGCAAAAAGGACCCTAGTAGGTACTACCTCATAAGGTTGCTTCCAGTGTTTAATGAAGTAATTAGTACATTTTAAATGGCATATCTCTGCAATCCCAGGCTTGGAAACCTGAGGTAACAGGACTATGAGTTCAAGGCTAGCATGGGCTACATGGTATTTCAATGAAATAAAAATCATAAAAAGAAAAATTTCTGGAATATTTTATGTGTTGTAGGTGTTTGAAAGACATTAGGTAATCTACTCATATAAAGCTCATTATTTGGAATTTCAAAACGTTAAACTAGGTGTCACCCAAAAAATGAAACAAACAAATAATAATAAAATGGTAACTCTAATCAGATGAATAAAAACTAATAGAAAACTTGTCCAGATACCAATATTAAAAGGAACTAAAATAACAAACAATCATATAAATAGACATCCTTGGGTCCCAGCGACGGCTCAACAGGTAAATGCACTTGTTGCTAGGCCTAAAGACCTGAGTTCATTCCCTACATCCACATAGTGGAAGGAGAACCCACAAATTATTCTATGTATGCTGTGACACAAAAATAGAACACTAGTAAATTACAAGGATCATGGCTACATTCCCAACACAGGATTCAGTTACAGCAGTAGGCTTTACAATGACTCTTTTCTCTTCTTTTCTTTTCTTTTCTTTTCTTTGAGACAGGTTCTCAGTATGTAGCTCTAGCTATCCTGGAACTGACCATGTAGACCATACTAGCCTTTCATGCATGGAAATCTATATGTATGCCTGTGGCTCCCTAGTGTGTGGTCTAAGGGGGTACACCATCATGCAAGGCCTGAAGTGAAGCTATAAAGCCATTGTTCATGTGTTAGTGACGGAAGCAACATACAAAGGTGGACAGGAAGGACACACATGAAGAAAATAGGCGCCTCTGGGAAGGGGAGAAGAAATGCCACTCAAGTTTAGAAACATATTTTCTGTTTCATTAAGGGTATAGAATGAATACAATGTTTCTATTTCCTAGGAAATGACAGTAAATGATAAGGGTCTGTGTTATTTTGTGACAGGAGAATAGGGCATGGAGAAAGAGACTCAAGATTATATAATAAAGTAAGTAATAGCAGAAGAAAACAGATGTTTGGTCTCAGAAACTGAAAAAAAAATAGCTGAGGTGCCTATTAACATATCAAAGCAGATGCTGACCAACTTTCTCAGCATCATTCAATATCTATGGCTATTCCCAGCAACTTCTCACCCCTTCCCCTCCCAACACCTCTCCTTCCCAGGGTCAAGGATTCCACTTCCCTTCCCCCTACCCTATTCCAATATAACTCAGCCATTTTGACTACACCAGTCTCTTAGCCTTATTGGCCTGGCTGCACTCCTTTGTCAGCAGCTCCTCTTTTGCTGTCTCTTCTCCTCTTTCCTCTCATGGTCTGGTTTAGTTTGTCATCCCTCTTCAGCCTGGACTTTTCTCTCTGCTTGCTTTCTCCCTTAGAGCTACAGTAAAGATCTCCATACTTTAGGATCAGTCATGTTCTCCTTTTATTTCATTGTATCATTCAGCTGGAACCCAGGAATTCCCCCTACACACACACATACATACCATAACTCATGAAACAATACAAGTCACTCACTGCTGAGAGACCAAAAGATTAAAAGTTAGCAGCTATTATTTAAGGCCTGAACTAGGTGGGTGGAGAAGTCCAGGAATGCCCTGAGGGGAAGAACAGCCTTACTGCATTCTTTCCCCACCCACTAGAGATACAGTTGCTAGGAAACTGGCCCATCCCCCTAGGGAGGGACACCAGGTCATTAATGGTCTGGGGACCTTCCTATAGCCAATCAATTCAAAAGGTATCATTTTGACCAATAGATGCTTGCCAGGCAGGAATTGCCCCTGCCTTGGGCATGCTGGGAGGGACCAGAATCTTTAAATCACCCAACTAACCTGAGC